CAAACGATGAAACAAAAAACTTACAGAAAAAATGGTTTCGTACCTTACAAACCAAAAACTTGGAAAAAGTAGGTTTTGTACCCTTCACCTTCGAAGGACCCTAATTCTATGATCCGTGACAACGTTGACGCCAGCAAGGTGTCAAACTAAAGCTAATGAGTTACCTCGTATTGTAGTAAACATTTCACAAGAATAAACCATATATTAATAACTGCAATATCATTTCCTCAGTTTTCACATCGGTTGTTGTGACTTTGTGCTCATAGGGTGTTTGCTGCAGGACATTATCAGACAGACAAATATTGGATACTAAACATGTACATGTATACTGCATTTAAGCTATACCAGTAAACTGCGAATACAAGACGTCACTCTCTACTTAGTCCGATTTGTTGAAGATGTTATGGTATAATTGTGGGAAGTGATCCGTAATTTCGGGGTCGCTCTTCGGGACTAATTCTATGGTATGGAACCAAGGCTGTGATACAGTGTCCGTTCATGGTGTGTTACTTCGAATTTAATTGCTTCAACGAGCTAACGTGTAATCTTCTGTAATACCTCAAGAGACACAAGCAAGTTCATCAGTGCATCACTAAGTGCTTCAGCCTATACAATCGTTTTAATGTGTTAAGTCAACAAAACTTGATTGTGCCTGCACGACCCTCTAGTTAGTAATAATGTCCTCATGCAAACTGTTGTCAAAGGATTTGCACAAATGTTTTGCGTACATGTCAAATGAACTCACCGTTTCAATGGAATTTCAATTTATTTCAAGCGCACTGAAATAAAATGATGAAAAATCATACCGCTTACATTAGGAACATTGATTTTAACCCTCTAACACGAGACACTGTGGGCACTACATACACGCATAAATTTTCATCAATATCTGTAAGGCTTCTCAGGTATTACCAGAAGCGCCCGTCTCAATCAAATGTCTTCGACAGGACACCAGACACAATTTATGACTGAATAATTAAACCAAAAAAGGAATGCTCGAAATTTGGACGCTCTTCAGACTTAATATCGTTAGCATCGTTATGTTGTTAAGGCAGCCGCAGCAGACATCTTTTTACCACAACTATCTGCTTAATTCGTATAGTGCATGAGGCGTTGTAAAGCATTCGTCTAAACCTCTGAAGTATGCATAATGATATGCTTTAATCAATAAAGTGCGTCAGGCAATCTGAGTGTAGTCAGAAAAGCTAAGAGACTTGACCCTGTTGCGTGAGGTAGATAACTACCGATAGACACAATCTGCAGGTGCGCACATTTCATATTTTATTATGCTGCCATATCATTGACTATTTTATCAATTATGTTGATTCAAAATGTTATGAGTGAATCACCTAACTGCGTGAATAAGTATCAAAGGACTACACCAACACTTTTCACTGGTGTTAAAATTTTTGGTGTTATTTGGTGTTACCTTGAACACCCTCCAGTGCATTGTAACACAGGCATGCAAAGTAACACCAGCGGCGTTAAAGTAACTCCCTAATGTGTGGTCATCTGATGACACCGAAAAGTGTTGATTTTAACACCAGAGTTTTTACCGTGTGGGTCATAATTTGAGCAGGAAAAGGGTCATGCCGAATGGGACTCAATTCTGGGTCAATCTGAGACAGGAGTTTTTATAGAGTGCAGCTGAACAAGGAGTAGGGTGACACCCTCATACCCACCCATGGAGTATCCAAAGGCGGCGTAATTTTGAACCGGGAAGTGCAGAGCAAACGAAAGATTCATGCGCTGGTTCTTTGGCTAATACCTTTTACACACAAAATTGTGGGCGTGACGTATTCGCTTCGGCACTCTGTAGAACTGCACGCGACGAGTAGCATTCTAATTAGTGCATGAATGCTCTTTTGCGTGTTTATCAACTGAACGCCTGGCCGCGCAGACGTTCAATGCCGGTTATACAGAGTACCAGTTTAGGCATTTGAGTGAATAATGTCACTGGTTCTACGTTGACTTTTGATTCCTGAAAGTTCCAGTTGTGCTGAACAACTGTGAGTCATACTTGCCATTAATTTTCTGCTTATGATGCGATTCGATGATATCATTTTTAGTTTTCAATTCCTCACATGCTTTTTGCCAATAACAAAGGTCAACTAATATGGTCACGTTGTTCTCTGTGCACAACGTGAGTGGTTAGTTTGCTCATGCCAAAGGTTGCCTGGTTGGCGGTGACAGTGACGCAGATACCTTGAATACAATGAATGTACGCAGAGCTGGTTCCAGANNNNTGTTCAGTCCTATCTTCACTCAGAAAGATTACTTCACAAACGTAGCGGACAATATCCAAAATAGGACATCAATCCGTGTAACTTTCTCCTGGGTCAGCTCTCTTCAAGCGCAAAGTTTCCAGACGACAGTGGTAAAATCTATTTGGTTCTTTCACCCCAATTTTAACACAAATATTCCCCATCTTGTGCAACAATCTCCTCTCGCGTTTCACCTCATATATTTTCGTGTATGGTACTATTCTCCAAGAAGAAGGAAAAATAAGAGACAAGAGCAGTGTAGATCTTTGGAAAAAAAGTAAAGCCGTGTCAATTTCTAAATACCAATAGTAGCATAACTGGGGTAAATTTCTTGAGAAAGGAACCCACATGATCGTCAGGTGGGGTCACCAAAAGCCAATGAAGGACATCTTGTACATAAGTTGCGTATACAAATAGGGAGCACCTGTGAGGGCAAGAACGATAGCTGGGAGCCCTCGTCCCCCTCTGCAGTGATACCAGTGGGCGCCAACAGGGAGTAAGTAGAAGCGTTTCACAATGGCATCAGCGGCATTCTATTTCCTTTCATGTAATCGTTTTACCAACTCTGTAGGGGATTTTCAACAGGTGTGAGTAACAACAGGCATCAACTTCAAGATGAGCACCTTCAAATGTCCATTGGCAACACTGGGAGCCTTTCATATTGTTGATGGGATAGTGAACCCTGCTGCGTGGGGCATTAGCTGGCTTTTTTATGGCTACGTTAGTACAGTTGCTGCTCCAGTCTGGGGTGGTGTCGTTGTGAGTATTTCAATTCAGCAAAGTTGCCATCAGGGAACAATTATCGCATGTACAATATCAGTTTGCCAATTTCACTGGTTTTTTAGTATAAAAATGAAATCGTCATGTTAGCAACACAGTAATGAAGCAACGGAAAGTCCAATTACTTTTTACACCCTGGGATTAATACAAACACTTTCCTCAAGTTTCCTCGAAATGTCACCGATTTTACACTTGTCAAATTCATTCAGCGGTACGTTTGCTTAAACCACAGCTAATGTTAACATGTGCAGGTATTACAATAATCTTGGATCTGTAGACTTACACCGAGAAATATAAGTCCCAGGTTCATGCCTACATTGTTTGAATGTAGTCTAAATTCAAGGATCAATCCAGAACTTGAAAAAAAATTATTATCAACAGAAACCACCAAATTACCAACAAAATTACCCCCCTCCTCCAAATGTTTAAGACAACCAGTTGTTGAGAGCCTGTTTGAAGATTTGATGTAAGTGTCACATCACTTGGCGTGATTTTGCATTTTCGTACACGTCATCATGATGCACACTGAAAAACTTCTGCGACTTTTCTAAAGGATCTTTGCTTATTTCCAGTTCTTCATTCCAGCCGGAATTCTGACTATTCTCGCAGGTACTAATGGCAGTCGTGGAGTGGTGAGTTCAACTCTGTGCAGTATATTACATTTAAAAATTGTGGCTCGGCAAGAACTTGAGAGGTCATGAAAGAAATATGATGATCCTGAAGCCTCACGGACGAAGTGTGGGAAAAGTTAGAAAACTTTAAAATTAAAACAGGCAAATAAATACTAATGCATATATAATTTTGGGCAGAAATGGTTGACTGTTCTAATCTTCTACTGTGAACAGTTTTCCGATTGTCGATTGTTCAAAGCTTCCGGAAACAAAAACTTTATTCTTTAGTCTATTCTTTCTACAGGCGAATTGGTCCTTAGTAATGAACATCTTTGCAGGAATTGTAGCTGTAGTGGTCATTGTCTTCAGTGGTATCATGGCCAGTACAAACTTCTCCTACGGTTTGGTAAGTCAAAAGATGCATAGGCCTAGTACTAAAACGAGTACGACATCACACATCATATGCCTTTAGCATGCCAAGATGTACGAAGTAATGTTTATAGGTTGTAGTTATTGGTATTGTTGGATGCAAAGTGGTGACTCCAAACGCAGGTGTATCAGTAACATTTCAAAATATACAAATCATGGGAGTCTGTGAATTTCTAATGACAAATGATGCACCATGATCATATAAAATTCAACAAATATCATTTCAACAAATGAAGCAGAAGTGAAGCAATTCGTCTTGCCCGGTTAATGCTAAAAAAATAAGGCACTAAGTTGTGACGTCATGAAGGTTAAAACTAAATTATATCACAATAGATTTGTGCAAAATGGTGGTGAGTGCTTATTTTTCAGTCGAAGTACTTTAATTGGCAGTCTCTAACCTTTTTTTCGATTTGTTTGTGTGGGTTCTGTCCGTGTCCCTACAGGGCGCCCATGGCGCATGCAATGTCATCTCTATTCTGAGTGCCGCCTTAGAGATCGTGATTTCAATCATGGGTGCTATCTACTCCGGCCTGGTAATCTCTCGAGGCGGACCAGCACAGACTACGACTGCGCAAGCCCCTACTCTGGTAAGATCTACTTTTTAGAAGATGTCACATATTGAACAGTAAAAATGATCATTCGCAATATGTCACTCGATGAGAATGGAGAATGAGATACCATTCCTTTCCCGCAGGGGTATAACATCCAAGCTGTGCAACAGTACCCAGGCCAGCAGTTTCAAGCACAGCAGTACCCTGGCCAACAGGTCCAAGCAATGCAGTACCCTGGCCAACAGGCCCAAGCGATGCAGTACCCTGCAGCACCGCAGGAGCAGACGTACTAGCAGCCTGCCACAGACTCCAGTGACAGGGGATTCGGTAACCTTGTTATGCGACTGAGCAAATATTCACTGAGTGCTAGATGCTGTCAAAAGAAAACAAATTACTCTGACATATCCAATTCGAAGCTCAGGAACTACCAAATCAAAACGTATGAATAGACGGCAGCAATACTTAAGCTTTCAATTGCTTGATTTGGGGACTGTATCAAACTGGACTAATTGTCAATAGCTTAGGCTTAAACCCTTCAGTAAACTAGCGAGATAAAGAAAATGCATACCGGTCATCGTGTGTTTTGAATAACTTTTTTGTTTTTTGTTGAATTAACTGAAAATTTTTGTAATCCTCAAGCTACTTATGTCCTTCGAGACGGCCAAGTCCCTTTAACCTAGCTATAACTGCTGTGGAGTAAGGCCTGTCAAAAGATCAGTACTCCCAGTCTCCCCATATGACCTTTCGCAGGAAGTAGACCGCTTTGTTGACAGACATGTCCCGACAGGTTACGGCTGTTTGGGTTGTGACTGGGATTACTTTACTTTCACAGCAGCAAATGAATTGTAGACAGAGGGGACCTCAAGGTGTATTGGCAACCACAAAACAGTCGTACAGGTTCATAGGAGTACTGAGCTACAGATATGACTGGGAAATGACCTGGATATTTTATTTATCCACATGGATACTCGATGTAATTTCATGGGCGTGGTCACTTGCAGGCTTGTAATTAAACATGATAGTGATAGCTTATTTATTTTCATGCCAGCCAGCCTATTGTCAAGAATACCAGGGGATTTCCTCCTGATTCACGTTACTGGATCTATCAGTGTATTACACTAACTGTGAATCATTTCAATGTTTCATTTCAAAATTTCGCATCTAGCACTCGAAGCAATTTCGTGCCCACAATACGAGCAACAAGCTTAATTTTGTTTTAGTCATAATATCGAAGTAAAATTTTAAAAAATCAAGAGAAGAAGCCAAACCTGGAATCAAGGATTCAGGAAAATTATGCTCTCGATAATAGATTAACTTAAAATTTACATAAATCTAAACATGTTTAGATTGAATGAGTAGTTGCTGTCTTATCTGTAACTGTTATCAAGTATCTTGGAATTAAGACTTGATCTTTTTGATTTTACATCTTGATTATTGTACCATTTCACTATTTTTACTTTCCAATTTGTGCTTCGCTGTAGGACTTCCTTTATTGGCTTTGCAGTAATATATTATGTCCCTTTCTATCGGTACAAAAATGTTTCTGTAAATATCCAATGCGATCGAAGCTTTCTGTCAACTTTAATGCTTAAAATAGTGACAGTTAATTGTAACAAAATTGGTCAAGCTTGAAATTAAAACTTGATTATATCTTTTTAAACAAGATGGTATATGACCCTGCATGGCCTGACGGAATGTACAATATTCCCATGTGGAAACGGTACTATTCACGGTGTAGCTGTTTTCATCAAGCCTTCACTTTGTGAGCTTTTGTGCCTATACCTTACGATATTGTGGGATTTTCAATTGTTTTCAATATCAGCATATATACCTAGGCAGAGCTAATTATAGCACTTATGTTGCATTATGGAAATGGTTACCATAGTAAGGTTTAATACACAAATAACTTTCAACAAAAGGCTGTTAGGTTAGAATGAAACAAGTTTCTTTTTGTAAATGTATGCCATGTAAAAAAAAACACGGAAAGTGAAAGCTTGAATCCAGTGAGTTCGGGAAGAAATGGCGTACGCCTGTATTAAAAAGGGTGAATATATACGCCTGTAAAAGGATAAATAAATAAAAATGAACTTGCAGTACCTTGTAGATAAATTAAATCGTTATCGTACTTACGTCAAGTGGACACATCTACGTCTGTAACTGACGTCTGTGACATTGTGACCTTATATGCACTTGACCTTTGTCTGTTGATCCAAAGATTCAAATCTTTGCCTTGTTCGTTGAGCCTGTATTTGTCTGGCATCCATCGTCACGCCCCGTCAAAGTCCTATTGTTTATGATAATGGTATGAAATTTAGGGATTTTTTTCATGTTTTTGTAAAATGAAGAATTTTTGTACAACAGAAATAAATTTGCCACTTTTCAAACCATACTTTGTTTTGGCAGTTGCTCTGTACTCCCCGACTTAAACGTTTTAAGGCAATAAAAGTAATGTTGTGCGGCGGTTAACTTCAGCTACTGTCGTTCCATATATGGGAAAGTATTTTCGTTAATTTGGAACATCATCTGCCTACAAGCGGTTCGTATGTCGGAAATGATGCCACGACTTCGAAGCCGTAATTTAGAAATAAGGCTGGTCTTTTGCACATGCATGGTGCATGGTAGGCCTACCCTGAATTGTGTTTACTTGTTGCAGACACTCGGAAAGGAGTCCTGTTATTTACTTTTGATTGTGCATTCGGAGTCGAAGCAGAAATGATTGATTGCTATTTTCATTCACCATAAAACCCTCTCAGACGAAAACGTTTTAAGAATTTTTGGAAGACAAAAAATGAAAAACAAACTCGGAGAATCTGAGAAGAATGACAATGAAGTTTATAACATTGTACATTTTTAATGGGTTGCTCGTGCTTTTTTTTCCACTGTGGCCACGCATTTGTGTGCATGCGTGCATAAATATGAAGTTATCGGTAGAAAGGTCAATGTTTACTTTTCTACTCGTCACACTGCAAACAATTAGCTTGAGCACTACGTCACGTTTAACGCGAGTGACGCGTTTTTGCCAAGGGTTGCCTCACTGGTAATTTAGCTCCAGATTTTCACAAGGGACTTCTAACATAATTCTCATATCACTCGTGGGACGGCTGCTTTCAAGTATACAAGAAATCTCCGGACGACAACGGTAAATATCAGGCAGTGTTCTATTTAGTTACGTTGTATTTCATCAGATATGTTTAATGTCGTGTTGGTGTTGGTAATACCGGATATTTTAGAACAGAAGGCGTGCTTAATACATGTGTTTGTTGCTGTGCCTGCTAAACAGGACAGCTTGTGGCCAACAAAACCAAGACACCAATAGGCGTGTCAGGAATGGCAGTTCAGACGGCACATTTGTATACTTATGCAGTATTTTCCTCCAGCCAGCACTCTGTGACTATTTTGTGAAGGACTGTCTTGCCAATTTTCTGACACCACCTGTCGACTTTTAGGACCTATGTCTCTCGTGGAATATGGGATTTTCAGTAAATAATGCCGTTTTTGACTGTCCACACAAACTGGGAATAACAGGCTGGTTCCAAATAATATGGTAGCTGACATGTAAACAATTAAGAATACCTAGACTAATTTTCTATACAATCTATGAATCTGAATCACTGTAAGTTTTAAAAACCTCAGTATGGCAAGGACGGGAATCCCTCGTGCTAAAAAGATCAATTAGTTCTGTTCTTCGTAAGGGTTTACCATTTTGCTGTTTTATTACACGGCTATGTTGCTCAAGTAGGCCTATACACGTACTTCAAGCTGTTCAAGAAGACACCACAACACGGGGGCGGATCTAGCTTTCAAGAAAGGGGGGAGTTGATGGGCGTATTGAGGGGATGCCCTGCTAAGGGGGTCCGAAAGTATCCTGTACCGTTCCCTGGTGAAAAGGAAACCTAACTATAGATGGAGAGATTGAGGCGTAATCCTCGTCCAGGGTTTTTAATTTTTTTGTAGGCCTGTATAGGCCTACGAATTCATTTTCCGTCATTTAACAGGTACTTTCATTTAGTCCACGGCTGAAGGGGCGGTTGCAACCCCCACCCCGATCCGCCTCTGCAATAGCAAAAAAACATGCAAGCCTTCCAGCCACCGAAAAGTTGGTGGCAGAACTACGATCCCCTGCAGTGTTTAAGGTCATATGTGTCTTGGATAGCATAATAATCAGACCACCGTCAAATGTGGTGAGCTTATCATCAAAAAGCCATTTTAAGTTTTGGAATGCTGACAAGCTGGTCACAGGTTATCCCCAAACGTAAATTATTTTAGAATGAACCTTTACTGATTACCTCACTTTTGTTCTTGAAAACAAGCTCGGAAGTGGTATTTTGCAATTCTTGTGAGTGTTAGCGCAGCAGGCATCGATTCACCAAGATGAGCGACGACCGTCGTCCAATGATGATAACAGGAATCCTCCATATTGTTGTCGGGATCGTCCAGCCAGTTTTATGGGGAATCAGTTGGGCCTTTACTGGTTATTACAGTACAGTGGTATCTGAGGTCTGGGGTAGTGTTGCTGTGAGTATTTCCAATTCTGTCAAATTTTATATTCCTTAATGAATCATTAATTTTCTCACGTGCTTACCGGCAGGTAGCGTATCCAGCCGGGGGGGACAACTTGCCCCCCGGCGGATTTTTTAAAACTAAGATTACTTCATAGGTGACTATAGTAAAGAAACGTATATTGGATTACTGTATTTATCAAATAAATATGCTATATTTTTCGCACCCGTATCATGTTAAATGAGCCGGAAAGTGCGTCGGCTTTTGAATTTGCCCTCCCACACACGCACCAAAAGCTGCATACTCCACTGCTTACTGGAAAAATCTCAATGACATCCACGTTAAACAGCATAATGGCAAAAATATGCATATAATAATAGTGAAAAATGGGCCATGATCAAACATGATCCTCTCAAATTTGTTTTCACGTGATTTAAAATATTGAATGTCCAAAACACCTTGGAAAATGTTTTGCTAGAATTACCTCCAGTAAAAATCAACGCCAATGTTGTCAGAAACTCAAATTAAATTGTTTCCAAAAATTAAACTGGATGAAAAGCTCTTGGTGAATACTGCTCAGTGGGAAATCATACAGGGAAAACTTAGAAAACTTCGAACAGTGCCTGTAATCGCTTAAGAACATTTTTTGAATGTAAGTTAGACTCAGTGAATTAAGTGGACATTGCAAACACTGCATGTTTCAGAACATTGTGGCAATCCCTTGTGGAAATCTAAATGCTTCTGTTTTGTCCCCATGGAGTTAGAGAAATTATGTGACTTTTCTTAAAAGGAACTTTTCTGGTTTCAGTTCTTTATTCCGACGGGGGTTCTCGCGATTCTCGTAGCCAAAGGCAATAACCGAGGATTGGTAAGTCCATAATTATGGGCCGTGTACGAAGTAGCAAGTGCTGGAACGTGGCTGTATGGAATTTGACGATATGGGAAACCCGAGAAACGAATGAGTGTTTTGCTTTGTAATTCTTGAAGATATATATAAATCTTACCAGGATGACTAATATATGCATTGTGCTTCTTTTACAAAGAACATCTAAAATGACCAGCGACAATCATCACTGTAGACATATTTATGGGTAGACATATTTTGTGTGTAGGGTTTCGATTTCTGTCTTTAGAGACTTGTGTAATTACATTGTTAATATCTCCTTTTTTTCAGGCCATTGCATCTTTGATAATGAGCATCCTATCAGCCATTGTGGCATTGGTGATCTTCATCACAAATTGTATCACTGCCGGATTAAATTTTTCAAACTACTTTGTAAGTCGGTTACTCTTTTGGGGGGCAAAACCGAAATGAAACCCTTCAACAGACCGTACATTACGTTACTTTAATGCTAAAGGTGTATTCCTTTTTGCAGCGCAAACTTCAAACGGCGTGTCCAACTGATACATGCATAGGCCTATGCATGCTAGTTTCTAAGGTCAAGGGAGTTGAAGTTTACTTCAGTATAAGTGGTGCTTTTTGCGAAGAGTGTGGTTTTTGTTTTTCAAAAACTGAAAGGTAATCAGTAATGAGGGTCAGGATTTTTTTGGATTGTTAATCAATTGTTTTAGAATTATGATTGACTTTTTGGGGGATTTGTTTTTTTTTCTTTTGGGCATCTCTGGATGAATTCTAGGCCGCTCATGGGGCATTCAGTATCCTTGCTCTCTTACTTGGCATCTTCGAGATCGCCGTTTCCATCGTGACTTCTATCTACTCGAGCAAGATCTATCGAAATGCTGCCATCCCAACCCAAGCTATGACTGTGCAAGCCACTACGGTAAGTCCTACTGTATAGAAGAGATCATAACTGGAGAGCTAGAGCAAAACAGGTTATTTCCTCATGCTTTCTCGTTTGCTCCGCAAAGTCACTTGAAGAGATGTACCATTTCCGTCCCGTAAAACAGGCCTATCCGAGTGCTTACCCGGCCGTGCAGCAGTACCCTGGCCCACAGGCCCAAGCACAGTACCCTGGCCCACAGGCCGAAGCACAGCAGTACCCACCGCAAGAGCAGAAATACTAGCAACGTGACACGAGGGCCTAATCCACAGCGCTCGGTAACCTTGTTATGCGGGCAAATATTCATCGACAAACCTTGAACCTACATAAACTTCAGATAGGCTGGCTGCACGCGTCCAAATCATGCCTTGTTTTATTTGAATATGTATCAAAATGGAATAAATTACGATTAGTTTTAAAGACAAGTATAGATGGCTAAAACCTAAATGGTTGCCAGGATACTGTGGACTTTCCTCCTGCTGTACATTGCCGGACCTATCAGTGTATTACAGTAATTGTGAATGTACCAAATTTCGCATTCTTTGCATTAATTGTTTCAACCCCGGCTGACCAATTCTATTTTCGCAAAGAACTCCCTTTCTCTCTCTTTTTTTTGGGGGGGTGGTTCAGTTAAAAGTTCTAGATAAAGAAAAAAATAAACAGGAAAGAAGTTGAACTTGTATCAAAACTTGTATCAAATGTGTTCTCAATATAAGTTGAACTATTAATTATGTATAAAAAAGTGTGAGTAGTGAGAAAGAAACGTACACATGAATAATCTTCGTTTAGAAAATCGTACTTTAAAAACTGTTGGCCCAACTCATTGCTTCCTCTAATCTGAAACTGTGTTAAAGTATCTAGCAATTGAACTTGATCTTGTACAGGCTTTAATATGTTGATTTTTGAGCCTTTTGTGCTTTGTTGTGGGTCTGCATATTGGCTTTTGTAGAAAAAGTGTTTTAACTTGTAACATTATTGATTCAAGGCTTTTTTCTGTATAAATCCAATGAAATTGAATTTAAATGTAATGTTTAAAGACAGTGGAAGTTACAAATATCAATAATAATTAATTTACATTTTAAAAAGCTCAAAATTTAAAACTTGGAGCTAAAAATTAAAATTTCGCACGATGGTTTCATATTACCCTTTTGGGGGCTGGGCGGAATATATCCCAACCCTGTTCATAATTACCATATTTTATCGACTCACTCCAAACATTTATTGGGTGTTTGTTTTCATCGGGCGGTCATTTAATTTTTCTTTTTCAAAATCAGACGTGCGTTTCTAAGGTAAGGTAGCATTAGAATGTGTCAGCAACGAATTTTTAACAGACCCAATTTTTGTACTGCAACATTATACTCTTCTTCAACGCATTGTGACCATGACGACGCTTGACCTTTGTTTGTTGATCAAGTCTCCGCGTTGTTCATGGACTCTGAAACTGTCATTAAAGTGTTACACGCCTCAGCATCCTTTTTTTTTTCACGGTAATGACTGGAATCAAGTGATGAAGTTAGAGAATTTTGTAAAAGGGAAGTGAACAGAAATTAACTTTGTCCAGTTTTTTTTCAAATCAAACTGGGAATTTCCTTTTGCTTGATTTCATGGCATTTTACGCCATTTTTCCTGGACGAAAAAATTGCGTAAAAGCAAATTAGATCCAACGTATGAATCTTCTCTCGAAGAAAAGGTGTTCTTGTCTTTTAAAGGGTTGAAGTTATGTAGCAACTCCAATACATTTTCAAGCACGGACATGTTATGACGTTATTGCGACCACATTTTGAATCCTGAAAGACCAATTTTGTTTTAATAATCTACGACTTAAAATACTTTACGAGTCGAAATTTGTATACTCTATTCTAATAAATCAAATCTTGGATAGTGCGTGACGAAATTACTCAACTGTGTCACTGTTTAATGTGTCTTCGTTTGCCTCGTAAAGAATAGAGGGGCGTTTTCATCTTACAATGTTTTGGGATGACATGATTATCAATCATATTTTCCACTGGAAGGCTAATCATTAACATCCTGCCTGCCGGCTATGATACTGCGCACGAACCCTCCATTATTATTGATATGTCAATGAGTCATGTGATGGAGGCGTGGCTCGTACTGAGTTGCGTAGTTCAGTTGGTAGCGATGCACTAACCCAAATGCCTTGTTAGGGTATAGTGCCAAAGATCACCGTTGGAGAAGCCATTATCATCATTAGATGCAAGCCATGATTTTGGAGTTTATATACACACCGACTGTTCAATATTTTATACAAAAATCTTTCCTGTGCGATTCTAATAGGAAATCAGCATTTTCATTTAATGCGGGACAGGATTTTTATGGATCCTTTCTTCCTGCTTCCCTCGCGTTTCGTTTTTATGCCGTTACTTCATTGGAGAGTTAGTCTACCTAATTCCTAGTACCCGCACCTCTTCATTATGTAACTTCTTCCTTGTGGTTCTTTCATTATTTTTTGTCACATCAAGCGTCACGGATACGTTTTATTATAAAATATGTGAGGGTAGTGTCTCGTAAAGGTACCTGTGCTTTGGATCTATTTTGTGGTTCGGGTAAATCAGTGGCACCCATTGTTAGGGCCAAACTTACGGTTGTTCTTTCCGGCCTAGTGAGGGCGCTATGCAAGCGAAACAGAGGGGCTGTATGCATAATGGCTCCGTGTGACTAGGAAACGTTTCAATGTGTCAGGCTCCGCTTTATTGGAAGAATTATCCACTTGAGGTTTTATTAAACGGTTAGTGATTAGTGGGTGTATTTGTGTGAAAGCATGGCATACACAGTCAGTGAACCTAGACACAAGAGAAGTCCACATTAATGTAAGGTTACAAGACGTTGTGTGGACTCGCATGCATCCACACCATGTTTCCCCTCTCTGAAAACCACTTCGGTGGCATTTTGGCTTATGATTGTTTGTTGTAAAACGAAGCAAATTATTCGATGGCAGACGGATTGACTTATCGATTATCATGCCACAACACCCCGGACACCGCAACAATCGATCGGCCATTTGCGCAGATCGACCGATCACGCGCAGCATCGTCGTTAGCCAGAAAAAAATCACTGGGAGCACACATTTTCCCTCACTGCGCATTTGTATGACGTCACCTATAATGCGTGCGTAGAACAGAACAGAACTGACTCACATGTAGCTCTGTGTAGCAGCGGGTTTGTGCACAAGTCTATGGTGTAGCACTTTTTTGCTACACGCCGCGGCCCCTTAATTTTCTTGCGCCTTCGTCTTGCACTGTGTAGCATTAGTGTGCACTTGAAGGTCTGGTTCTTAGACCATCCGATCGGCTGTGCCTATATCCTATTGCATATCACCTGACTTAACATTCTGTGTAGCATGTGGCACTGCCACACAGGTTCTGTCTTCTTCGGTCTCATTTCTGGCTTGGTTTATTCGACATGAACTCATAATCGTACGATCAGGCAGCCTTGCGCCCACTGAACATGACAAATATTGCAAATGTTCCATGATTTGAATAATTCAAAAGTGAATGAATAGGCATATAGGTATTTCAATGTCTCATTCCTTTTCCGTGGCACCTGAAGTAGTTTCTGCTTTAGCAACAGGGCGATTCACTATAGTGCGCCTCCAAGAGTTTGCAACGCGTTTGCCACTCACAACACGCAACCCTTTCGACGCCGCACTGGGTTGACGGATTTCGGGCATTTGTGATGGCAAACGCGTTGCAAACTCTTGGACGCCTGTGAAACGCCCGTATTATGATCACGCAGAGCGTGAGAGAACACGCAGTGAAGATGCGGTAAAGGGCTAAAGAAGAAGTTCATCAATTTGTTCCCACTGTGGCGTCGGCATGATCGTCCCACCCTAAGATTGTAGATACGGTCCACACCCCCCCCCCACCAAAAAGGTCCTACGATGCCGGTGCCAAAAGACTCCGTCTTGCTTTTTGTGGCGTGACATTGCATTATATCAAACACTGAAATATTACTAAAATAGTTTGGCTTTTTCAAATGCACTAACTCTTATACACGTGGCTGTACAATATTGCATCCACTTCCTTTGGAAGGAACAGTTTGAGTAAAGTACTTACGTGGACTTGTGTCTCTCCACTCGTTTCGAATCCCTGGAAACAAGGTTGTACCCACGTTCGCAAAAAACACTCCCGCCTGTCTGTGAAGAGAAGTACAGCAATATCGTTTGGAATATCATGCAAAATATGTTCATTTTTAATCATTAACATACAGGTTACGTGTAATCATATAAAATGTTTTTTTTTCGTTAATCAACTCCGAAGGATCAAAATGGCCCCGCTCATCATTCTGTGTGGTTTTGTTCGTTTGAATTTTATTTACAAAGTTTATTTTGTTTCATTTCTCAGTTCAAAACATTTGTTGTTGTAGTGAGTGTGTCCACAGTTTCAACCCCGCCAAACGAAGAATTTAAAAACAATGTAAGTAGGCCTATACTGTCTATGTTAAACATAAAATTACGACTATGGACATCAATCCTGCACGTACCCGCACAATTACTCAGAGCTCTTGTAGGCTTATTTATAAGAAAACATGTTGGAGTCAAGGAAAACTTGACCAAACGTTCTGAAGTCAATCAAATGCCTCGTTTTCTTTAGCAACATTTTCAATGAAAAACAGCCACATGTGCTTCTTTTGTTTTGACGCTTTGTTAATTTGTGTGTTGGTGCCATGGTTAGGTTTTTGTGTTGGTTTTATCATGTTATTTTGTTTCTCGTGTGTGTGTTCTCTCTGAACGCAATACTAATGAGAAACCTGATCGTTCTGTAACATTTCGTTTCAAAAATGTGCTGGTATTTGGACTGTGCATACTGAATGTGATCAAGAACCACACCTGCCGACAGGTGACTGAGGGACGCATTCAGTCTTTTTTGATCCTGGCAAACACAACGCAACAGAAATAAGAAATGATGGGAATTTGTAATTGTGTTATTTTCGGGTTTTGGAGCCTGTTCTGGCTCAGCTTCGAAGACGCTCAGGGAAGTAGAATTCTTATCTTAAATCCAGAGGGATTTTCTAGTCATTTCCGCGGAAGCATATCCATCGGCAAGGCCCTAGCTCGACGAGGACATCATGTAACGGCCGGCGCCATGAAAGTGTTGCTTGATGACGTGGGCGGTGAGAAACAAGACATACCACCAAACATGGAACTGCTTCCGATGCAGTTTTCTCTTTCACACGAAACTCTCTCTCGGACGATCGATAAATATGTAAGGAGCACACTGAGAGGTTATGCTCCCAATGAGGTCATCGATGAACTACCTCCGACCATTCACCCGGATGAGGACAAGTACACTATTTTCAACCTTTGCGAAGTCAAATGTAGTGACGTACTTGAAGATGACAAACTTTTATCGAGATTGAGAGCTGCCAAGTATGATATTATTGTCGGAGATACAGTCTACCTCTGTCACCCCCTTTTAAGCCAGATACTCTCCGTTCCTTTCATTCACATTGGCTTAACAACGATGGTTCCCTCCCAGCATGACATATTTGCTGGTAACCCTGTGAATCCCGCCTATGTTCCCGAACGCACTACCGAACTTACTGATACAATGACATTCCGTCAACGCTTGAAAAATACAGCGATGTATCAAATTATGAAGTACTTGTACAACAAATACGTGCTGCAATTGTACCAAAATGTCCAACTGAGCAGCAACGTGAAGCCAGATATGACATTCAGACAGCTAATGTCAACAGCCGAAATGTGGATATTCAGCTCCAATTTTCTGATTGATTTCCCTCGTCCTTTGCCGTCGCATGTCGTCTTTGTTGGAGGAGTTTTGACGGGCCCACCGAAGCCACTAATTCAGGTAAACTGAAATATGAGTATAAACTGGGCTCCTTGGAATTAGTAATTGACCACTTTCCTTCAACTGCCATTTAAAACTAATTCACAAATACATACCTCTGACAGTCTATTCAACAATATGTGCAACTTGACCGGTTATGAACATTGATAATGCAAGCTGAGAGGTGGTGGTGCCCACTGTGTGTCACGTGCAGGCACCTGATTATGACAGTTTAATCGCTTTAATCAAGTCTGTGTGCACGCAGCTCGCCACGCGCTCCAAATCCGTATAAGGAGATTCTTTTGAACAACTTACACAAGGTTACGATAAATTTCAAAGGATTTTTTACATGAATACTACTTTCATTTCCTTAAACACCCCTTTCCATTTAATGGTTTGTTCCTTGTGCAAGTTGTCCAAAGAATCTCCTTATTTTGACTTGACGTGCACATGGCGAGTCCCGCATTCCGCGTGCACACAAGCTCTTGGCCTATCAGGATCGATTAATCTCGCGTATCCAGGTGCCGGAGGGTGCTTTACGGAGTGGGCATCAGTGCACCCTTTTTATATACTATGGTTCCCATATATTTATTTTAATTGAAGGAGTGTCGATCGCTCGAAAAAATCTTTAAAAAGATTTTAAAAATCCATGCTGCTGCAATACAATTTAAACCGTGCCCTTATCACATCGCACCGGGCATTATCAAATGTAAAGACACTGTCTGGTGACTAAACTTGAAATCAAGTCGTTGGTCGGTCATGTTTGTCTTCCATACGCTGCGTCCTTTTACAATTAGTGTGGAGCTTGTTCAGTGTTGCCAGCGATCCATCCAGCATGCCACACCGATTCTGCCCTTGCTCGTGGGCTATTATAAGTACTGGGTTTCGGCGTATGTCGGACCAAGACCCCCTGTGCCCACCTAACGACTTGATCAACCTGATTCTCGATAGATATTCATGTTACAACAACTGAACTGCATGAGTCATAAAAAAGTTATATTTCCATGTAGAGCACCAATAGTTGCTCACGCTACAGAACAGACTCATCCATTTATTTATAGGGATGTCTACAATTGATTTGTGCCAGTTTCTTTCATATTTTGCATTAATATCCCTTTTAATACGACGCTTAGAAACAACGTATGCATAAATGTTCAAGAACAAATCTATGAACTACCTTTTTCTGGTAAGAGAATCAATGCTTTTATGGCGAATCATCTTTTTATGATAATATAAACACCCTCTTCAATGAACGAGACTGTGATTATTGTTAATAAGCGTTCAACTGACCAATGAAACTGCCCCTGAAATAAATATTCATATTATTGGGATTCTTAGCCAATCAGAGAGCTCCGTCCTATTTTGGTAGCAAGCCCATATGTTGTGCACAAAAGGTCGTGCAAATTGGGCACCGTCGGACACGCATATTGGGGAGCGAGGCTGCACTGACCGTTCCAGCGTGTTTATATCAAATTGCTCGCCGAACCGCACCGCGTACGCATCGCGAGTAAGGTGGACTACATCCAGCAACAAACACCTTTTAACAATTGGCTGGCAGTACTGGTCTCGCGAATGTGAATAATTAACTCAGTGTTGGGTGTAAAACACAAACCTACCAAGTAGGTCAATAACTTCTCCTGATCATTATGAATGACAGCGCTGGCAGAGATGAATGTGCTTTGTAGCTCGATCTTCATGTTGGGATTTTAGGGCCCGTCTTTTTCCCTTTAGAAATCGCTCTAGGGAGTAAAATTCTATTTCTCAACCCTAGCAGATTATCAAGTCACTGCCATGCAAACATTACAATCGGGCAAGGCATTAGCCCAACGAGGACATTTTGTGACGGCAGCCATTTAGTATTTATCAACCACCTCACAGACGAAGAGCGAGTCTTTCTACCAAACTTGGAATTTCTTCTGACGCAGCTACCTATTTTCATTGGCAATTCCACGTCGAACTGTTGATAAGTATGTAAGGAGCACACGGCAAGATTGTTCTCCCTACGACATCACAGATGAACTACTTCCACCTGTTAACCTGGGCCAGGATAATTACACTATAATTTTCGGTATCAGCGAAGCATCATGTGCAGAAGATGAAAGATGACAAACTTTTTCACGATTTAGAGCTGCCAAGTATGACATGAATATCGGTGATACAGCCTACCTCTGTCATGTTCTTTTGAGCCAGAAACTTTCCATTCCTTTCATTCACGTTTGTTTAATAACGATGGTTCCCTCCTAGCATATCTTCGCTGGTAACCCTGTGAGCCCTGCCTATGTTCCTGAACCCGCCACTGAACTTACTGATACAATGACACTCCGCCAGCGCTCAAAAAATACAGCAATGTATCACCTTGTGAAGTACTTCTACAACAAATACGTGTTGCCGTTGTACCAAAATGTCCAATTGAGCAGCAACGTGAAGCCAGATATACATTCAGACAGCTAATGTCAACAGCCGAAATGTGGATATTCAGCTCCAATTCTCTGGTTGATTTCCCTCGTCCTTTGCTGCTGAATGTCGTCTTTGTTGGTGGAGTTTTGACTACGCCACCGAAGCCACTAATTCAGGCAAACAGAAAGAAAAGTATGCACTGGGCTCCTCGGGAATGATAATTGACCACTTCCCCCTCGTCTGCCACTGAGAACAAAGCGAAATACGGCACATACGTGGTAGCTTTTATTTTTTCACCAGTGAGATGTTAGTAAGTCATCACCAATATGAGGGATCGACTCGCCAATTAGTAACTACAATTACACATTAAATCTTCAGTTTTGTATTGGCCCTACAGGGTATGGGACTTGCATCAGGATTTGGAGGCAGTACTCTGAGCTTTTTCCAAAGTAATGTGGGTGTTAATTAACCAAAGACCTTGAAGAGCAAGAATAGTTTCTGTGCAGAATGTACCTGAAGTGTTTCCATTCATTCGAGGGTATTTCTACAAAATTATGTCACACACAAGAACGAATCAAAATTTCCAGATTTTACGCGCACGCTGACCTATTTGAATAGTATATCCCGTTGTAAAATGCATATTCTTCCACATTTACTCAGCCGGACTGTGATTAACTCCAGACCCAGACTGTTATGTTTAAGGTTTATTCAATGCAGTAAATACACACGACAAGAATTCAGAAATTACTCGTAACGATGACCCTGCTTTATTTCATTCGTATCCAACATTGTGCTGCATGTCCCTCTTCCTTCTCCTGAGGGAGCTATTCAAGGAACCATGGACACAACATAGACTGCTGCATATCTATGCCCAAAGGGCTATCATAAAATTTTGCGCTCCATCATATTTTTTCTCTTATGCGGTCACTTCCGGCTATACCAAGGTTGTTAGTACCAGTAAAATTGTGTTATTAAAAGACCGGAAAAATTCAAGAATTGTGATGATCACTATGTACTCTCTGTCACGCTACTATTCTTTTAATATTGCCTTATTAAAAACGATTGACCCCATAAAATTTTGCTGGTATCTTGGACATGAATAATTGACTAAATATTGTATTAAAAAAATCTACAAGAAGACCAAATACAGGATGCATTAACTTTTCCTGATCATTGTAAACGGCAGCGCTGGCAGAGATGAATGTGCTTTGTAGCTCGATCTTCATTTTGGGGTTTGGGGGCCCGTTCTTTTTCCCTTTGGAAATCGCTCTAGGGAGTAAAATTCTATTTCTCAACCCTGGCTCATTATCAAGTCACTACCATGCAAGCATTACTATTGGCAAGGCATTAGCCCGACGTGGACATCATGTGACTGCAACCATTGAGCAGGAAGAGTTCAACTACCTCACAGATGAAGAGCGAGTCTTACCACCAAACATGGAACTTCTGCCAACGCAGCTAACTATGTCATTGGCAACTCGACGTCGAACTATTGATAGGTATGTAAGAAGCACACTGCGAGGTTGTTCTCCCAACGACGTCACAGATGAACTGCCTCCACCTGATTACCCGGGCCAGGATAATTACACAGTTTTCAGTATCGCTGCAATAATATGTGCACAGGTACTGAAAGATGACAAACTTTTATCGAGATTGAGAGCTGCAAAATATGACATGATTATCGGTGATACAGTTTACCTCTGTTACGTTCTTTTGAGCCAGAAACTCTCCATTCCTTTTATTCATTTTGGTTTAACAACGATGGTTCCCTCCCAGCATGATATCTTCGCTGTCAACCCTGTGAATTCAGCCTCTGTTCCCGAACGCACCACTGAACTTACTGATACAATGACACTCCGCCAGCGCTTAAAAAATACAGCAATGTATCACCTTGTGAAGTACTTTTACAACAAGTACGTGCTGCAGTTGTACCAAAATGTCCAACTGAGCAGCAATGTAAAGCCAGATATGACATTCAGACAGCTAATGTCAACAGCCGAAATGTGGATATTCAGCTCCAATTTTCTGGTCGATTTCCCTCGTCCTTTGCAATCAAATGTCAAGTTTGTAGGAGGAGTTCTCACGGTCTCACCAAATCCACTTGTTAAGGTATTGGAGTAATACTCTATATTCTTAAAATGTTTCCATGAAGCATCACCTCTACGTCACACAGTTCAGTTATGTTTGTCAAACCTGAATAAAACCCAACTTCTCAGGGTGATTAAGGTTCATTTTTTCTCAATGTGTGAGTGCTACTTCTTTGCCTGAAGGATTTAGGGCTGTGTTCAAAAAATACCTGGAGGTGGCTGCAAATGTTAAGCTCTCGATGAAAGTCATTGTCTAATATCAGAGGTTGGAGCCTTTCTGCTGTGTTGGTGAAGCCGCAGCCACGATTTTTGGTATGTAAGTGGCAAGTCGTTAGTTCAGTAGGACTGGTGTTAGTAAAATTGTTGTTTGCTAAACACAAAGGAACTTACATCATTATAACACGATTCTCGCAGTCAGCGTGATGTCACTACGGACTCTTTACACGCGGCAACGGGGCAAATGTACCCTTCGTACTGTCGCATGATGTACAGAAATTCCCGGATGTCCGACTGCGCTAAAGGCAGCACCGTCGTTGTTCCTCAATAACCAACTGACTATGACCTCACCTCCTTTAAAATGTTGATTTTTCCTCAGGGCAGTATCCGTCCGTCCCAACTTTTGTGTGTCAGGGCAATACGTTCTTATCTTCCCGTCACACCCCCGGCTGTAGCATTCTTCTATATCCAGCGCACTTTTAGGGCTTTGACCCATGGATTTAGTGTAAACAACACTGGCAACACGAAAAATATGAATCATTGCTTTTCATGAGGCGCCATTTTTTTTTCAGCTCCTTGCGCGTGATGAACTATGGGTAAAGGTTGCAGGTCATGCAGCACAAGACGTTAGTGTGGCTAGGCCTACCATAGAGAAAGGATACACTTACCGTCATTCTTCAACTTGATTCTTTATTTTTTTCAAATGGCAGGAACTCGACGTATTTGCCAACAACTCTGGTGATGCAGGTATCATCGTGGTCGCCATGGGAACGCTGATATCCTCCCAGCTTACTGCGCAACAGGCGGAGGCAATTGCAACCAGCCTTTCTCTCCTACCGCAAAAGGTGGTCTGGGCCTTTGTTGGAAGTGTGCCCTCTTCCGTCGGAGACAATATACTGATAAGACAGAAAATTCCACAAAATGATCTCCTCGGTAAATGTAACTCCTCTTCGGGACTTTGTTTAATTAATTAACTCGTAAAAATGGGGGGGGGGCGCATTGTCGACCGATTCGCGATTTTTAGTGCATTAAGCTACATGTTCTCTTATTATGCCACTCTGAAGTTTCGATATAGGCCTAATAAGCCCAAATGTACATTCGTAGAACGAATTACACACTTAGTTTAAGCATTCACAGTTGTGAGTGGCTTTTCAAATACTGAGTGAGGTGTACATAAGAGACTAATTTACAATGTAACAGTTCACTTTAACATTCAAGCTTGTGTAACAACTTTAAAGATTTTGCAGTTTTTTGACGTGATTTTACATATATTTTGTTTCAATAACTAACGCATGTTCGTGAATATTTAGATTACATATGCACCTTCAGTTGCTTTTAAAACTCACCTTTCAATATTGACTCTCAGTCTAGGCCATATTTTGAAAACCACACAAATCCTCGTGGTAAGATATTTCGATGCGTGTTGAAACGTGATTCCACAAAATCAATTTGGCTGTCTGTAATGCTATCTTATTAGGGTTACAGATCCATTACAGGTTAGTGGTGAGACCCAAGGGGGAGAGTGCTCACATCCGCATTGAAATACTATCCATGGCGGTGACTGCGTGTGGACATACGTACACGTGTGTTCAACTTTGCCGTGCATGTGACGAACGAACTCAAGCCGTGCATGTGACGAAGGAACTCAAGTTGTGCGCCCATACATTCATTTGTGCAAGCGCATAAATGAAGGGCCCGAAGTAAATCTTTTCGTACTTTACCCACACCAAACAATGGCTCGAATTCATCTCATAGCTCAAAGCATTAGCAGGAATCAACACTTTTTTGTTCTATGGTATGCTGGGCACCAGGTGTGGAAGGGGATAAGTTTAGAAAGGTGAAATAACTCAAAAGGTGAAGATTCCTTTAAGCTCTGACGCATTCTGTTTTCGCCTGGTTTCTTATTAACATAACTCTGAACGAGACATGTACTAGATTTGCGTGATGGACTTGAACAAAGCATGGAAGGTAACGCACTGTACGGAATCTCTTTATTGAGTTGTGTAGTTCTGAGAACTTGATTGAACTCTTTTTGTCAAAACAGAGATAACAACAGAGACTAACGTCTCGTTGTGCTCTAGCTCTCAATGCAGTGCGGCAACCAAAATTAAAGTGCTATGCTGTGAAAATTCCGGAGGGAGTGTTTTCCATTGTTTCACCAAATTGGGCTCTGTTTACGAGCCAGATGTTTCATGCTCGCTCTTCTTTTCGATATTTTCATTATTTTGCAGCTCATCCTAAAGTTCGTGCATTTGTGTCACATGGTGGTATAAACAGTTGCCATGAGAGCATCTATCACGGGGTACCGGTGGTCTGCATGCCTGTATTCGGCGATCAAGGGGACAACTGCGTGCGGCTTCAGGCCAAAGGAATGGCCATTATAGTGGACATCAAGAACCTCCTAAACACAACGCTCTATGATGCCATCACGAAAATCATACAAAATACAAGGTATCGTAGGTCTACCGAAACTTCAAATTCAGCTCACAAAAATACTCGAAACTTAAGACTTTTAAGGCGTATATTCGACCCTAGTACATGTTTTCTGACTTGATGTCGTTGCTATTTTCTTTCTGCTGGGCAAATTTCTGTCTTATGTTCAATACAACTGGCCTAATATGGGAACTTGCACTCAATTTTCACTGCAATTCGAATTAGTCGAAGCCACTTGGACTAAACAAATCGCCTCTTTTAACACTTGGACATGATTAGGCGACAGTAGAGTCCAAGCAATCTTCGTGGGCTTCCCTTCCATGCATTAATCGATTTCACTCAAAATAGCTCGCGCGCACACTGGCATACCCCAAATCAAAATCCTCCAAATTCACCTCCAAAATGATCCTTAAACTGTGTTATGCGCCCACTGTAAGGTTCAATGCAGGAATCGGCGATTGATGGTGGTAACTCGCGTAGGCCTAGGGAAAGAAAAGAGAAATTCCCCTTTAAATCGGAAGCGCTTTTGTTAACCGTTGACTAAACCTTAAGGAAAGGCCCCTTTAGCCTACCAGGCACTTTTGGCGTCGTTGATATACATATGTGGATTACGACTGCAAAAGGAACAAAGCTAATTGGTTTACACTGAATGTTTCACAACTATGAATTCGTTTTATCAAATGCACGCATTTAGGCCTACACTGGCCTGTATGCATTGGCCTTATTACCTTTCGTACCCTGCTATTTTGTGTATACAGGTACAAGGAGACTGCCCTGCATATGTCGCAAATAGTGAAAGACCGGGTCAGCGGGATGTCCCCCGTCGATGAGATTGCCTACTGGATTGAATACGCGATTAAACACGGCACGGAGCATCTCAAACCTCGCGCCCTCCAGCTTTCAGTTATCGAATATTACATGCTGGATGTCCTGGCGATCCATGCTGTCTTTGTCATAGTGATCCTGCTGTGCATCAAGTACACGTGCTGCACGAGAAAAAAACAACTGTGACATCATAACCATACATTATCATATCCTGGTTTCCCTACAAGTGTTTGGGAAGGCATCACCACCAACCTCTGCACTAAGTCCAAGTACACGTAGATAAGCGTAATAGCACAGTTTAATATTCAAGTTAATGTCATGATCACCTATTAGATATCAAGTACTGTAATTTCATGATGTAGACCGTCAAATTATATAGTGTTTTACTATTTATCCTAAACGTGAAATGTGACTTCGCATAAAGGCTCAAAGCTTATATAAGACAATGGGTGTGGTCCATTTAAGTAAGCGGGTCGTCAGCAAGTCCTTGGGGGTACATCGTCAAGTTTATTTCTTTGTGTAGGCATTGTGTTCCCAGAGAGACCCACATAAGAGCTTGCTTCGCACCCTCTTGTGTCCACTTATTACCGTGAGTTCAGAAATCCGACTTGACGAATCTGCCAGCCGTTTGTGCAAAGTAAATAAGCTCATCTACCAAAACAGGTAGCAGCCAATGAAATTGATGGATTTGTTTTTACATCGTTCATACGTCTATTATAATGATCCAGTCTGCAAGTCTGACAACTTTGATCGATGGAAATGCAAAGTCTGACTTCTGCTTAGTGGAAATTCCGTATACATTATATTATACATTAAGCGACGTAAGTTCGACTTGATTCAGTCTAGTGTCGATCACATCCAAAGAAGAAATTACCGATTAAAATGTTTTTCTTCCCACCTCCTAATTCAGCTCCGCCCACACATATCTGACCAACGGCAGCCAGGCAATGATCGTGAAGCCAAAATATCCGACGTGCGCAACTGCGCGCATTTATGGGGCAGTTGGAGACGCTAGCGTTTGTCCATACTCTTCTATGTTTTTCTGACAACGTGCGCACAGATTATCCGTCTCGAACAGAAGCACCCCCTCATTGGTTGAAAAGAACGCAATGGTTGGCTGTGTTCATTTTGTTGGAAGCGATGCGACTGCAACGCTTGCGTTTCATAGTCGTTCATGGATCAGCGATGTGCAATTACATGTGCAATGTAGTACCAAAGGAGCCTCCAATACTAAGGAAATAGCGCCTTCTCATTGTCAAGCTCGAGGCCTAAAGGCCTATCCTGGGTACAGGGCAAAATACTTTACTGGTGAATTTTCTTCGTTACTGTTTCATTTTATTGGAATATCGTTGATTCTACAACAAAATTGACGACTATGTACACAATAACAGATAGCCTTTGCTTCATAACCAACCTTCAAAGTAATCGATTTTGCATATTTGTAGTTAGGCCTATACAAAGAAATAACACGATTCGATGCAAAGATGTTCCCACAAAACGTAGGTAAGGTGGAATTCAGATAGTTTAAATAGTTTACATAATATATAAATAAAGATAACGTATTGCTTGCTGTGCAAAATAATGATCGGTTCTCCACGCTAAAAAAAGGTTTAGTTGTATTGACCTGCTCTTGCAAATGCATAGTACAGCTTAGACAATTCATTTATTCAAGGAAAAAAGTCAGTGTTATGAGGGTCAACAGTCTCGACTGGTATTCCATCACTGCCCCTAAATTTTACGGTACAATCCATTAGTCAGTCTGCCTTGCTGAAACAGTTCATGAGAGAGCAAGACTGCTGTACACGTAGAAGGCGGACTACGGTCAATCTGTTGGCTCTACACCGACAAGCTCACTTGAATCTACGGATGTTTCACAAAGACTACCCCGGCTTGATTATTCTGGCAATCACAGCATTACGGTGAATATGTCACACGAAAGATTATGTCTGCTTGAAAAAGAAAAACATTCAAATAAATATTATATAAACCTGTTGTGTACATAATTGAAAATAGCGACAAAGCTAGCTAAAACACGTGCCATCAGAACTAAATACATAAAAAATTATTGCTGTACATTTGTGGACAGTGAGTTTACAATAGATAAGTCTTTATAAACAGTCAACAAAACTCTACAAAACTCACTCCAAATTTTCGACCAGTAATACCCATCCAAAATCTGTAATTCCAACTGCCATTCAGTGATTAAAGGTATTCTTAACATTAGTTATATCCTATCAAACTATGAGACACAGCACAGAGTATCTTGAACAGTGTGGTACACGGTGATTATTAAAGGAAATTCTGTAAATTGGAAAATTTGAAAGCTTGATCTTTTTGTACGTACATGAATTATTTGAAACAGACATCATACAGCATAAAATATTTCACACTGGTTCACATGTAATCCTCCCAATAAATAACATTGGTTTAAATGGAAGCAACCGAGGATTTTCCAAACATTTACTTTGAGAATACAATTACAAAATTGTTTTAAATTTTTTCCGACATGCAAAATCATTTCAAATCAAGACTGAGGATTTTGTGATAAAAATGTGCAAACCAACAGCATGATAGAATGAATTTAAAAAAGACAGTAATACTTTTAAAACCACCGACATCAAATAAATGTCAAACAGGGATAAAAATCATTTACAGATAAAAAATACAATTGAAAAACTTCAAACTTCATTTAAATCGACAATATCAAAGGTTTGTCATTCCCATGTCAAATTGCTATTTCAATGGAGAAACACGTGTATAAAATTCAATGATAAGGTTATTTAAGATCAGTCCAGGAATATGATTTAAGTGCTTTAAAACTGCCTTTGGCGTGGGCCATCAGTTTACAAAAACCAGGAATCTACCTCTTTGTCGGTGAAGTTCGTCTCTGTTAGTTCACCTAGCTGAACTCATTTTCCTATTTCAAGTCTAACATTATCCAAGTAAAGTCACCAGCACCAATTCTTATTAAAAATTATCATAAGCTGGGGCAAATGAAAGTCTCACTGAGCACTGATGGTGGCCAATCGACAGAACAACAGAGCATGGTCATTAAAAATACCACTTGGATATGATGGAAAATTTTTTAAAGGGTCACAGGTCAGTCGAGGTATACATATCTACAACTGGCATGGTATCTATGAACAACTTTTGATACATAAAAAAAATCATAAATATTCCAGCGCTGTCATTGAGTCCATCATAAGATCATCATAAGTCATTCAGTCTTAAGCCAAGTCACAAGCTATTTCAAATGAGCGGTGACAAGAGCATTCTTTTGTCCTTGTCCAGTCTGTTACTTATGACTGGTCTTGTGAAAGAAAACTTGCAATGGACTCGAGATTGAAACACTGAAATATTACATATTGGGAAAAATTGCAGTTACAGAATATTGGAACAATTGCAAAGCAAATATTTCATTTTAGTTAACTTGTAAGATTTTTGCATTCTAGGAATGAATCTATATGAAGTGAATATCTGTAAACAGAAGGTCATGCCAGGAGAATGTTCACGTGATCAACAGAGGAAGGAGTGATATTTACGAAAGCACCTTAGAAATCATGTTTTCAAAAAACCTCTTCAATCTTTGCAGCGCTACAAGAGACATTCCATATTTCTATTTTTATCCAAACACCTTAAAAACGATATTCGCCTTCCATAATTTTTTCAACTTTCTCCTACATCCCTCTGCACACCTTTCCCACAAATTTGGAGACTGAATGCCAGCCAACACTTGTTACTGTATTTCGAAGTATAATACAAACACTTCAGCCAACAACAACTTTGATATCTTTGTCCCACATGCATAACCTTGAAGCTGATACAAAATTACAGGCCCCATTTTAACAGGGTAGCAACAGGTGAAAGTCTGAATCCACAAACACCTCATAGCAATTTACTTAAACATCAGCCACAATCAGCTTCATCAAATTACTGCAGCACCAAAACTGTTGAGTGAATTGGATTTTTGTACACGATGGAAGCCTGTATAAATTACATGAAAATGCCACATGATCCAGTTTATACAGTGCTCTGCTTAACCATTTGCAACCATCTGTTTCTGGAAACAGTTGCATCATTTAAGTACATGGCTTGTGAACATATACTTGCTTATCCTGACTTGGGTAAATAATTTTTATCGTCGTTAAAAAGATTAGTTCTTTAAGGCCTTCACATGCTACCTGATGCATTATCAGACCTTACGAGCATACAGATGAACCTACCAAGTCCCCCAACCAATGAGTGAAAGCCTCTCATGCCTGACCTTTTCCAAAGTTCTAGCTGAAACAAACATAACTCGGGGGGGGGAGGATACGGCCACTTGCATCACAGCACCAACCTACAATACATAGAGAAGAATTCACTACCCCCAATTCTTTCACCACCACCCCCCCCCCATTTTCCTTCTAAGATGCCTTGTGTTATGCCTCAGGGTAGTCACAGAATGATGACGGTCTCTGCTCTCTCGCATCATTGTATAGATGTAGACTAGTTTCTTGCAGCTCCACGTCTGTTATGCAGCCTTGGAAGCCCGTTCTGTACTCAAACGGAACATTTGATTGGAGGCTCGAATGTCCACCTGATTGGGAAGAGTAATACAGCAGTTCAAGAATTGGGACCAGGTAATACAACCAAAGGAACTTGGGCCAAATTGAAGGTTATGTACCAGTACCAATGACACAATTGCTGTATCATCTTTTATGCACTAGGTGGTCAATTCCCAATTCAAAGATTGATACACCACTATGATATCAACTCTTTCTGCTCACACTTACCAATCCACATGATTCCGTCTGTATTCAAGAATGATGACCCTGCCTTGGATGTGCCAAGTGAGGGCGCTTCATCATCCACTTGAATACTGCTCTCCCGCCGGGTTCTGTGAGGATACCAAAGAAGAAAGAAAAGTCATTAATCCAAGCCCAACTGAAATAGAGATTTTCCTGCAATGCACATGTACATCTTGCCGTGGTTATTGGATGCTTGTATTCTTTATAGCAGATACGAGAAAAATTACAGTTTTTAGGAAATACTTGCCTTGAAATAATCACCGTGTGCCACTGGTCGTCGTTTACTGATACAGGAGATGAGATTCTTTTCACGCCAGCTCCCAGGTTGTATGCAAACTCTACTTGGCCATTGACTATGGCCACAGCAACAAAGTCACCACCTCTGCTGTTGTCACTGTTGTACAGCATCAAGCCGGCTTGCCGCAAGGTCCTGAATCGCATCTTGATGATGTTTGTATTCTGCGCTTTTTCACTGCAGAACAATTGATAGAAACTGAACCTTTACAAGAAGAACTGTACTCAAAGCTCATATACACTGCATGTATGAAAAGCTATTCCAGGCTTGAACACTTCACACCAATTTGTTATGGAAAAAGGCAGCAAATAATAATATTGCTCTGCATGGTAACAAAACCTAGAAACTTGAGTGTAGTAAACTACAAGGTTATATAGCTCACTGCAGGACAGGCTGCTGGAACCAGCACAAAATTCCAGTGGCTACTAGTTTGAATCTGACTATTAAAATAGCTTCATTTGCTTGGAAAACTATGTTGGGATTCTTCTCTGAGAAAGAAATTTATTCCTTTTTCAGATAGAAGCCTAGTTTTATAATCTGGAAAATCTACTAAATATAACATGATGCTTTCACCTTGACAGTACATGAGCCATGAATACAACAGACACAGGCAGAAATGCAGAGCAACCACGTGTGGTCATTTGGCAAGAAATGAAACTGCCTCAAAACAACACAGCAAAAGATGTAAGGGCCTTTATGTCATAGCCACACATCCTAAACTGCAGTAACGGTAACTGGGAATACTTACATTTGTCTTGCTATGTTGGGATAACTGAAGTAACTCTGGCCATCAAAGGACACAGGTGCATTGGTATCCTGCTTCTCTGTCACAGGATTCTGTACTGTCATGTGGTCTGAAAAAGCAAAAGATTTGAGGTCAAAGATTGAAACTGGGTATTGAGCGACTGCAAAACATTGTATATATAACGGTTTTGCCCGTACCCAACGTATG